CATCCCAGCACTCGAGAGGCAACAGGTCGGCCAGTTCCTGCTTACTCTTACAGGTCTTCAGTCGTATCAGAATTTTGTAGAGTACTACATAGAAATTGCCGTTCAAGGATCAGTAAGTTTGTGGCACAAAGCTACATGTGCATCTATATGTGACATTGTTGAAGCTGTATGTATAAATGTATATGAGTGTGTTTGTGTGTGTGTGTGTGTGTTTCTTTCTGTGTGTGTGTGTGCTGTGTGTGTGTGTCTTTCTGTGTGTGTGTGTGTCTCTTTCTGTGCGTGTGTGTCTTTCTGTGTGTGTGTGTCTCTTTCTGTGTGTGTGTGTCTCTTTCTGCGTGTGTGTACATGTAAATATACATATCCCCCCCCCTCCACCAGCGAATGGCATCCCCCCACATGTGCGTTCTTGGTCGTAATGAACGGCTGGCCGCACGACCAGGACCTCCCATCCTCAGTGGAGCCTCTCTTGCGGTGGCTGGAAACGATGCGGTAATCCACTTCACACGACCCCCACTTCCCTACGCAGTCTTACTCCCACACACGTGTCGCATACCACTCCAGCTGTTTGACCAGATGGACAAGGGCGGGTGCTCGGCAAAAGCTGACGCCAGACAGCCGAGATGCGGACGGCTAGGAGCAGCACCGAGCAAAAAGGTGGAAAAGGGGCCACGAAAGGACGCCGGCGAGAAGGAGTAAGAGCACGACACACAACGACCAGGAGAAGTTCAAATACCACCAGTTAGATTGTCAACTTCGCGAGAGAGGCGTAGAGCACTATACGGAGGCGAATCGGGCAAACTGGAGGTACGGGGACGCGCGTCCTACCGTTCGAAAAAGCCAGATAAAATCGTGCAGACGGAATAGAGATAAAAGAGAAGAAAAACGAAAGACGATGAGGAAAGTGCCAGAAGGCGTGGCGGGTAGAGGATAGGAACTAGCGAAGAGAACGAGTGAGTGTTTCCCGAAGAGCGCAGTAAAAAAATAAAAAAAAAAAAAAAAAATAAAAGAAAAAAAATAAAAAAAAAAAAAAAGAAAAAAAAAAAAAAAAGAAAAAAAAAAAAAAAAAAAAAAGAAAAAAAAAAAAAAAAAAAAAATAAAAACAAGAAAAAAAAAAAAAAAAAAAAAAAAAAAAAGAAAAAAAAAAAAAAAAAAAAAAAAAAAAAAAAAGAAAAAAAAAAAAAAAAAAAAAAAAAAAAAAAAAAAAAAAAAAAAAAAAAAAAAACAAAAAGAAAAAAAAAAAAAAAAAAAAAAAAAAAAAAAAAAAAAAAAACAAAAAAAAGAAGCAAAAAAAAGAAGAAAAACAAAGGTAATGTCATCGAGTGTTACCTGAACATGGAAGATTTTGCGAATCGTTGAAATTAGAGAAAAGATGTAAGGAATGATTTTTGAATTATATAAAATATATATATAATATAATAAATATATTAATATTATATATAAAATATATATAATATAATTATAATATAATATATAATAATATTGGACATGTGAAATAGATACATAATGGCATAATATAATTTGCAAAAGAACACCAAATAATTATCGATTTTATAATTTTTACTAGAAACTACCAAGAAGGAAAGTTCTGTTATATTTTATTAGAATCATCATAAATTAGAGATTAAAATGTCAGAATTATAGAAAAATAAATTAATATATATAATAAAATTGTCATTTTAACACAAAGTCAATAGACATTCCAACAAATCAATTTTCTCTCACAGATAGTCAATACGATATCATTATTCTTATCATATCTTTCTCTCAGTTCACACTTCTTACATAGTTATCCTTAGTATTGAAACAGAGAATTTGGACGTAGACAAAAAAAGGAAACAACAGAGGGTACAATTGATGAGCTAACTCACTTATCATATAAGGTAGAAAGATTAAACTATTTACAGAAGTTATTAAGATGATTATCGCATCGTAATCAAGAATCATCTACGAAATCAGGCCACAAGATATCTATTTACCAGTGTTGTAAGTTTTTTGTTTTCTTTAATCTTTATCTTTATATTTTTCATCGTTTTTCCAGTTATGACTTACTTGGTATTTAGGTTTTGCTGATATTTTTTTGTTTGTTTGTTTTTGCGTGTTTTGGGGAGAGGGCTTACTTGCTCCTTTTTTCGTATTTGTTTTTATTTTGTTTTGTTTTATGGTAGTGTTTGTTTTCCATTTTTTTTTTCCTTTTAAGCCGTGACTTTCTTGGCGTTTCATTGATGCTGAATATTGTTTGTGTTTCTTTCTGGTCTTCTTGTTTTGTTTTTATTTATTACTGTGTATGCGTTTGTGTGTTTTATATTTAATCAGAAGGTATACCACTTGATTAATATATTGCTTTATTTTTGGGTTCTTTTCTATAACACAACACACAATGAATTCAAACTTATTTTCATTTAATCTCCCAGTTCTTGATATTGAGAAGGTGCCACATGACACAATAGTATACTTATACATTTTGTGTAGAAACATATAGCATCTATATCATCTCTTATTATTCCTGTTTTTTCTTTTTTCTCAGGATCAATATGACCTCCTTTATGAAGCAGCAGCGACATATCTAGAAGCCTATAACACTTACGGAAATTTTAACTGAATTGAAATTGACGTTAGAGCATATATATAATCCACATGTATATATAGTCGCTCATATTCAAGAGATACTTCGGACTCTTCTTCTGGTGGAGGTCCGGCGCCACCATTGCTCTGATTGGCTGCGACGCGAAGCACAACATTGGCTGCGGAACAAGACAGACGGTGATTGGCTGCTCAACGGTGATTGGCTGCGGAACAAGACAGCTCAACGGTGATTGGCTGCGGAACAAGACAGCTTGGCGATGATTGGCTGAAGGGCGCGTGGTCCTGATGCAGCTCTCTGTATATAAGGTGCCGGAAATTGGCTGAAGGGCGCGTGGTCTCTGTCTCAGAATATGAGTGTATCATAAGGTAATGGTATGCTACATGAATCAGTAGTGATAGTAGTATTTGTCTTCACCAACATCCACAGATAGATGCAAAGATGGATAGAGAGACAGATGAATAAATAGATAAAGAAATTATTAAATGACTAGTGATGGAACTCAGGCTAGAAAAGCTTTTATTTTCCAAAAAGTGATATTCGTGTATGTTATTTTGCATCAGATATTTATAACTGTATCTCTCAACCTCTCTATCTATATGTATTTACACATCTGTTTATGTGTGTTTGTGTTTTTTTACATGTATATGTGTATATATATATATATATATATATATTATATATATATATATATATATATATATATATATATATATAATATATATATATTTATGCATAAGTGATTACATTTCTTGCAAAGTTTGGCTAAATGTAGCTCTTGTCCATATGGTAGAGTTTGTATATATGTAATGGACAATGATTATGAATATTTACACCACACAAATTTTAGATCTTTTATTACAATAACTTTGACTAAATAGGATCAAACTCCTTCTGTAAGTTCTTTCTTACTTTTCTGTTACTTCCCTTTCGTTTAACTTGTAGTTGTATGTATCTCACATATTATACGTACTATTTCCATACTTCATTCTCTTAACAAGCCAGTGCAGATAGGCTGTATGCATGGTATATAAGTAAGTATGTTGTAGTATTTAAATTTCCTCCATGAGTTGTTATAAGTAATATATGAAATATATATGTATATATGATACCAAAAGTGAATACTGTACTTAAGAAATGTATCTTCTTAGCATTATATAGTTGTTATATAGTTCTCTTAATTACTGTGTTGTTGAACCTTGAAATAATTTACTTTTTGGCATATAAAGAGTTGATTGTAACGAATCTAATGATATAAAGGAGAATGGATTGCATATTATAAGAAGTGCAATAAGCATTCCAAATCAACGAACGTTTCTGTATTGATCAGAAGTTGAAGCGAATTATTCACCTTCTTGTCTGTATTTACACATGATTCTACACTAAATACAGATATATGACCCATGTGATTGTACAGATTCGATTACACGGATTGTGTGATGGATATTCTGAATACGGCAGACTCAGGCGCGTCTAACGAAGGAAGGAAGGATATTCACAAACCAGCCTTTGTTATCCCTCGGCGACTCTTGATTTCTATCATGACATTACCCAAACGCACTGTTTTATACCACGTGATTCTGCAAGTTGAATAAACATACAGACTTACGGTTGTTGAATTCGATAGCCTATACCGTTATTACTGAATTGATTTGCACTTTGTAACATATATATGTGTATTTATATTTGTGTGTGTGCGTGTGTATATGTATATATATACATATATATATACACACACATATATATATATATGTGTGTGTGTGTGTATGTGTGTGTGTGTGTGTGTGTGTGTGTTGTGTGTGTGTGTGTTGTGTGTTATGTTGTGCTGTGTTAGATGAGCAAAGGGTTGGGTTAGACTTGACATCAAGTCAGCCTTTCATCCTTTCAACACTTTTTCACGCATTTTAGCAAGTGGACAGAAGAAGAGGAGAAGGAAAAGGAAAGAGGGTGAAGAAAAGAATATGCAAAATCAATTAAGGCGATGGCTAAGGGCCCTCACTCTCCGGGTTGTTATTATTAATACTATTGTTATTATCATTATAATCATTACTGCCTTTCCTTTGAATAACATTATCGTTATTACCAATACTATTTTCATTATCATCATCATCAATATAGCTATCATAGTCATTATTTTTATCATTATTATTGACATTATCATTACTATTATTACAGTTACTATGATCATTATTATCAGCATTGTTTTTGTTGATAACGTTATTGTTATTATTAGTAGTTGTAGTAATAGAAGTATCAGTATTATCCTCTTTTTTTTTTTTTTTTTTTTTATTACTATGATCATTATCATTATTGCTTTTGTTGATCATTATTGTTACTATTACTATGATTATTATTATCATACTGTTAGCAATATCATTATCAAAACATATATAAAATCATCGCTATTATTTTTGTCATCTTTTTTTCATAATACCATTGTCATAATTATCATTAATCGTTAATGAGAAAGGGAATGGTTTTAGTACAGGCAAATATAACAATTTTAGCTTTTGTGCTTCTTATACTTCAAGGAAAGTTATTTGCGTGAGCCCATCTCCGTGAGTGTCGTGGCGAGATGGACCGTCTGCCTTCGCTCGTGTCTCCACCTCTGTCTGTTCTTGTCTGACTGTGTGGATCAAGAACAAGTCCCTCTTAAAAAAGTGGGTTTCCTCGAGGTCAGGATTCTCGAACGCGTTAAGGCGCCGTGTCTCCTTAATTAAGGCGCCTTAACTTACGAGCGATCTTACGGTCCTTGTACAGAGCAAGGGACCCGCCATACTGGTCCGAGTTAAGGCAAGGGGGTGAGCAGCCTTTAGCGGTTTACGGCGGCCGGGAAATCGACACTCTTCGCTCTTTCATAAGGGAAATACAGCGGGACGGTTAAGGGCTCCCGCGCACCTTGACTTAAGGCTCTTTTGAGAATACGGCGCCTGGTGCTCGGTTCCTCTCGCCGTGGTGTGAGATTTACCCCGCTGTGGCATAGAGGAAAGTTTTCTTGTTCTTCCCTTCGTTGTTCCTCTTTGCAATTCGTTCGATATGAATTCCGAAGGAGTGAGGATGCGTGAGTGTCTGGGGCTTGCTTCGAGGAGGAGGAGGAGGAGGAGGGAGGTGTTGG